CTTACTTTGTTTTGCGCTGCGCCTCGATACGGCGACGGACGTGTTTGGCGCTTATTTGATAGGCTGCCGCCGTACTGCTCCACTCTCGGGTCGAGCTCATTAACATGCCTTGGCTGGGGCTTACGGGTTTTAATTAAAAATGCCAGAGGCTTAGAGGAAGAAAAAAAAACTATACAGACGGTACAAAACAAAACTCAATTTGATTTTAAAATTAGTTGATTATATTTATTGTAAAATGGATGGAAAATGCTTGTTTTAATTGTAAACAAAAATATAGATAATACCCAAATAATGTATTCAATAATTAATATATATTTATAGCGCATTAAATAATATATTATAACCCCCGGCTCACTCGTCAGCCCAAAACCCTTTTATACTCGTCCTAAGGCTAACCCTAAGCTAATCTTAGTTTTATTTTTAGCCCTATAATCGTATTCCTGATCATTTCCACAAGGACTCTAATCCCTTTACAGCATTTGGGAACCCGTTTGGGAGAGCTGCAGCCACATCTTCAGCGCTTAGGGGCTCCTCAGGTGGAGTACAATATTTCTGGTCTCATATTCAGCCTCCCTGCCCGTTCAGCCATCTATGCTATCCACTTTTATATAAATGGATTGCCCCTACAATGATCATTAAAAACGCATACCCTGACATTGTTTTGCTATAAACATAAGCCATAATTCAATTCAATGTAAGAACACGGGGGGAGGGCAAAAACAAAGCGAAAAACACGGCATAATCAATGTCGATGTCTGCCCACGAGCACTACCACCAAAGGAGCATCCCCACACACACACACACACACACAGACACAGCAACGACATCGTATATTACACACACACAGAGGGAAAGTCCTAGAGATAGAGAGACATCCCCAAATATAGACAGGGCGAGGCGGGCAGGCGAAAGCAAAGTCCACACACGACAGGGACAGGCTCGCACTCGTATATCAGCATCGGAATCCACCCGGCAAACCCCAGCAACGAAAACAATTTGGTAAGTTTTCGAAAATTTGCTGCACAACCCGTCGCGCTTCCAGGCCACTGCGAGTTCTCCTGCGAGTGCGAGCGAGAGGACGAGTCTAATCCAATGAGCGGGATAGCAATAGATTTCATCTCCTTCTGTCCCTGTGTGTGTGTGTGTGTGTGTGTGTGTGTGTGTGTTTGGGGAGTCCATGTACAAAGCTTAGAAATAGACAGACAATAAAAGCTTCATGAAGCGGCATTGCCGACGCCATCATTTGAGTGAGTGTGCAAGCGAGAGGGATGCAATGAGAAGGAGACAGCGAGACAGATAGAAAGAGATGGAGATGGCGATGGTGATGGTGATGGCGATGGAGAGAGAGAGGGAGCATCCATGAAGTTTCTGTTGATTTTTATCATTTATCGATTTCGAATTTGTGTCGAGGGACAATTTAGTAGCCTCCCCGAACGCCATACCAAATGTGTCTATGTTTTGTTGGCTGTTCTCTCCACTCCACTCCACTTCACTCCACTCCACTCTACGGACATTCATGAGGTGTCACCCGAAGGGGTAAAGAGAGGAGGCAGAGGAGTCAGAGGAGCAGCAGGCAATTTGATGGCCAACTCCAAACTCTGGCCTGTCATTGTCAGGCTAAACTGCTCTTGACTGTTATGGAGTACATTTTTGGCCAGAGAGGCCCACGGCCTGGGTCTGCTGTTGTCGAAGTAGTACGAGAATCGTGCTATTTATGGGTGACATTCACATCAGCCCCTGGATTTGGTTCAACTTGTACTCGTAATTTTCCCAGCAGTTCCTTTTTAGGCGATCGATTTATCGATTGTCGAAGAGTCTTCCTTAAAGGAAATTCCATATTTAACATTTACTCGGCTTCGCCGACTAAAATGCTCTGAATAAGCTGGTCTAAAGCCTTTCAACAGGTAGGTTCTCCATAGGAGAATACCTGAAAATCCCCTTAAGTGTATTATTTCACAGATCTTTCTGGTGCAATGAGGAGTAGAGCGAGCCGGCCTTCGCCTGGCTTCTCCCAACAATATAGCAATTAATCAAATTATATTTGACACGCCAGAGAACACAAACAAACCGAATTGGCGAGCCCAAAACGAAGTCAGTCGGTTCTGCAATATTTCAGCAAGCAGATTAGCAGACCTAAGGTCCTAAGTCAAATTATACACCAGGGACACGTTCGAACGGAACACAGAACACAGAACACAACACACAGAAATTGCAAACAGGAACAGTTTATTGTGTTTGCTTGTTTTTTTTTTTTTTGATGAAATTCTTTTAACCTCATCGTCAATAAGCGGCTTAAGCGGGATTTACCTGAAACCGATCCGACAGAGATCGAGATGGAAAGAAAGAAACCAAACCGAGCACGTCCGAGCCGCCTCGGACGCCGTGGACGCCTTGGACGCCTGCGCAGCTGGCGAAACCCCTATTTGAAATGGCAAATTCAAAGGCAATTCACACTCGGCCGTCAATTGCTGGAAGTTGACTCTGGGCGCGTACTAAAACAATGGTGAAAAGGCCGTAGATCTCCGGAACTGTGCGGAAGTTCATCGGATTCCTCACTCTCTTCATTCTGTTGAAAACGTGCCCAGTTCCAGTTCCATATGTCCAATGAGTTTGCGGAATCAGACGAAGATGCAGAAGAAGCAGCGGCTCTTCAGGAGGAGATCTGGCAATGGTCTTTGATCTGGAGTTTCTTATATCACGTAATACGGCTGCTGTTTGCTGTTTGCCATTCGCTGAGCCTATGCTAATGGTTCCTCTAGGTAATTATCGTCGGTATGCTAATGGTATTTTGAATGGACGGATCCCCCCCAGAGTAGCTCGATTGTTTGCCAATGCATTCGCTGTTAAAGAATGATTAATGTGGGTGCTCCATTAGATACGAGTCAACAATGGTAGTCCGGTAGTTGCAACAGCCTCACGGTCATTAGTCCAGCTTCGGTTCAATGAATCGCCGAGTACTCGAAGCCACTGGGTTGCTTGGGATGTGAGCGTGAGAGTCAGTGATGGGGAAGAGCTTTGATTTTATCCACGAAATGTCTTCAGATCTCCATAGATCTTTGTTCTCGTGAGTCACGCACAACTTTGATCCACAATTTCTTCGATGTGTCTTCACGCTGTCATCTCCAAATCCTTTCAATCAAAACTTGTTGCATTCCCCCCTCCCCCCTCCCCACTCCCTTCTATCCAGCCTGGTGGGCATTCATAATTTAATGATATTTATTGTTATCGTCCCCCCACACAGGCTGCTGCAACCTGTTTCGATTTCATTCATGGCCTGTCGCATGTTTTCTACTCATATTCTCGTTTGATTGACAGTTAATCAATCTTGAGGCTTTAGTTTGCTTCTCCATTCACGTATTCTCATTCTTCGGTGACGTTTTTCCATCTCTCCGTCGTTTTCCTTTCGCCTATTATATCGTTTGTTCCGTTTTTTGTTTTTCTCTGCCACCTTGTTGGCCAGAAATAATTTCAAGTTAATCCTTTTGACTCTCTCCGCTTGACGGATTGTCGTCTGACTTTGACTCTCACTCTGACTGCACTGCGAGGAGTGTCCTAAGCAGATTTCCGGTCTGTAATTGTTATCCCCGTCTGTACGTAGGTGCTGAGCCCTGGCGAACCTTTAACCTTTATTCCATGCCCTGGTGTGTGGGTGTTGGCTGATCGGATTGTTGGCTAAGCCATTTCTATGATTTCTTTTTACTGATAATAACATATAATATATATTTTTTCAGTCGAAATGTAAGTGTACTGCGGTTTTTGAGAGGCAGAATCTTAAAAGTTGCAGCTATTGAACTGAAATTGAACTGTCGATAGGAAAAAAGAAGACAAATTATTTCCTACTGGCTCTTAAGATATTTTAACCTAACCCTAAACTAATGAATATATTTTCCCGATTTTTAAAGTGTTTTATGTATGGCCTTTGCATAGCGTGGAAATTTTTGGATATTTTGTTCGATATTTTCTGGTATTTTCAGAACACCCGAAATTGATTTCGGCGCAAAACTTGAGCTAAAGAGCATTTTGTTTTTGCAGAAAATGATTGCAAATCGTTCTAAATAATAGAATGTATTTTTTTTTTTTTAATTTTCCCTAAAAAATATTGTTTGAAACGGATTTGTTTCTACAGAATTCTGCGATGTGGTCAAGAAACGATAAAGCGCACAGCGGAAAACACGAAGAATACAACAAACAGCACAATCGATGGGCATCGATCTTATTAAAAATCCTTAAATAGAAGAAATATAGAAATATTGAGAGCAGATGCATCACGGCCTGAAAGGGTTAATTGAAAAGACTCTTGAAATGGTTTTCATATTTTTCTTTTGTATTTATTCATTATCAATTTGAAATAATTAAAATTACAATTTAATTTAAATACATTTTACATATAATTTACTTGAATAGTTAATCATCATCGTCCGCATCGTCCCTCACAGTATCATCCTCGGTATCGTCGTCGTCAATATTATGAATATTGTTTACGCAATCTCCGTTAGCATAGTTAATCGTTAATAGTGTATATATAGATTTAATATTTAAGAACTAAAGTCTGTTCCAACGCACGAAATTACATTAAATTTAGGGTTTAGAAACTAAACATACAGTATGTAATAAATTCAGTTAAATTTTTGTGAGTTGTTCTCTTCTTCTTAGCTTCTTACCAATAAGAGACGTTAATTAAGCTTCGTGTTTAGTATTTTTTTTCCTTTTTTTTTTTGTTTTTTTATAAAATTAACATAAATATTTACACACCTACAAAAAAAAATGGGTTGGTGGGGGGTTGGGGGGGAAATTAGTGAGATTTAAGGAGAGGAAAATGATGTGAATGTCTTCAGAAGACGGTAAAGTGGCAAAACCTTAAAAATTAAGACAAAAAAAAAAATTCTGGAAGTTTTTTTTCGCTAGTGGCTGCGCTGCTGCGGCTTTTGTGGCTGCTTTTTTGCTTGGGTTTTTAGCTAATTAGCTGGCATTTGAAATTTATTTTAAGTGTATTGTATATTCCGTTGCATTCCATTTCATTTAATTTCATTCCATTGCCGTTTTGTAAATTCGTTTTAATGACGATAATTATCCTGCTGCTGCTGCTGCTGCTGGGAGGAGCTGTTGCTGCGACATCTCTTGCTCTGGGCGGGGGTCTCCCCCATGTCGAGGCTCTCGTTGTCGCTGTCCATGTTCTCGCTGCAGTCGCCATCGTTATCGCCGCCCATATCGTCCTGTTTCCTCTTGGCCGTGGCCATTTCCGCCGCATGCCGCTTGCGCCATTTGGTGCGACGATTCTGGAACCAAACCTGCAACGGAAAATGTAAGCGAAACGTAAGTAAAACTTTATAAATGCCAGGAAAATTTTCAGGTTTAAATCAAACGCTCGCCGCATATGTAATTAGGCGAGTCACATTGTCAAAGTCATTAAGTCCTGCGGGGGCTGCCTCAACAGCCCATAAGTCGCATCATCAACGCCGGTTAACCCTCAATTAAGACAATATTAAGCCCTGGACAGCCAAATGGCAGAATGTTGCCCAGCAACGGCTGCAAAAACTATGCACAAAACCATGACTAACGTCTTTGGTTGCGCTTCATTTTGCCAGCCTCGTTTGCCTCGTTTGCCTCGCCCTGTGGCAACATATGTTGCTCCATCTCCCCCCGACTACCCACCCACCCTACCGTTCTCACAGCCTGTTTTAAACAGGGAATCACCACCCAGAATCCAGCCAGTGCCTAGTCTCAGGCACGTTCTGCAACTTGCCTCCTTTGTTGCCGCTGCGGTGGTGGCGATGCCGGCGGTGGCGGCGGTGGCGGCGGGCGTGTGCTGCCTCGGAATCGGAATAATTTCTACATTTGTTTGATGATGGAGCAGATTTTTGGTAGCTGTTTGCAGTTAGAATCATTAACAAAGCTTCTAAGTGGGCACTTAATGTAAGAGCTCTGTTGTACACAAGATTTCAGCGAATGGCCAATCTGTAGGCAGAGTTGGTCGAGATTCAGTCGCTATTTCTGAACAATTTCAATGGGATTTCGAAAATTTAAATAGTAATAAATGTATTTTTCTCAATTAACCCAAGATGGAAGGCCTTCTTTATGCACTCTTCAGTGCTATACGAAAGCGTAATAACATTTCCCATCCATGACCATGGCGAAATCAGTGCCGGGTACGACGGCCCAAAGGTGCAATTAAACCAGATACAGCATAATTTACAACTTCATTTGCACATTTGTGTAATTATTATATGTAACATTATGCGAAATAAAAATACAATTAATATTTCTTGTGTGCTACATGCCGCAGAGGCAGCAGACACAGCGCCAGCACCAGCACCGACACCGACACCGACACCGAAAGAGCCAGACTCGCACTGTGTCTTGGTCCTCTCGGAAAAACAACAGACAAGCAACAACAACAACAACATTAGTTGGCATCATTAAGGCTGCTTTTCATGGTCATTATTTTTTGGTAACATCTGTGTCCATGTTGTTACGGGATTTGCCTCTGAGCCATGGGCAAAAAGGAGAAACGAGCTTGGGGCAAGTAGCAGGCTGCCTCCTCCTGCCTCCTCCTGCCTCCTCCTGCCTCCTCCTCCTTCTTCTTACTTTTTGTCGACATCATAACGAATTGTGTATGCGTCATCTAGCACCCACTAAAGCACAGCATAGTTGGAAATGACAACAGATTGCAGGACTCTGTGGAGAGCTACAGGAGCTAACATTTTCCCCGAACCTCTTTTCTCGATATCAAACGAATTGTATGTTTATTTCAATATAAGTATTTCCGTCTTTGTTTAGATTTTTCTGTGCATTTATTACATTTTAAGTAGCAACGCCCTGGCCTTTGGTTGAAATAAATTTCCAGAAATGTTCTGCACACTTTTATGGCAGCGGAGAACTTTGAGGCCGCCTTGGCTGGTACAGGTACGGGCACAGGCACAGGCCCTGCCGGAAAGATGGTCAAGAGAAGCAGGATTTATGACAGCCAACATGTCAAAGTCAATCAAATATTGTGGCAATCAATTTGACGTGGTCACGTTACGCTTCGATTTCGTATTGGGATTTATTTATTGCGCCAGAAACAGCACACACAGCACACACAACACACACAACACAAAACAAGGCAAAAAGGAAAAGGAAAATGTTATAAAACATATTCCATTTTGCCACCACAGCGGGAGGTGCCACAGTCCCATCCCGTCCAGCTGTCCGTCAGGTGGGCCCCCGAGATAAGGATAAAAAGTGTTATGTAAATTTCGTAGGAATGGACGGGATGGTACGGGATGGGACGGTACGGGATGGGATGGGATGTCAAAAACAAACCTCTTTCCTGATGTGCGATCCCTCAAAGCGAAATATATGACTCTTTGGCCAAATTGGAAATTTATTTGTTTACGCGTCCTGTGTGCGAGACAGAATGAGCGGTGAGGGGTAGGGGGTAAGGGGTAGGGGGTAAGGGGTAGGGGGTAAGGGGTGATAGGTCGGTAGTAGAGGCATACTTAAAAGTCATGAAAATTTACAACATGGCTTCTCTCCGCCGATTCCCAATACGAGTGAGTGCCTTTTTGGTAACATCGCCATCGACCTCTACCTTTTAGTCGTATACAGTATACCTCTCTGATCGGCTGACAAGTTGGCTGTGGCCACGCTCTTTGCTTTTTTCCTCCTATTGGTCCACAGAATGTTTTTTTTTTTTTGTTATTTATTTATTTATTTTTGTAGTTCTGGCTCGTAAATTTTCGACTCGCCCTCGCTCTTTATATGGGCCCGGGGTCGGGCTCGGACTCGGACTCGGGCTCTCCCCGTATTTATGTGAGTTTGTGATTTATTTGATTTTGTATTTTGTAGCCATAAACTTGATGCCAACCCATCCCAGGGTTCAGACCATAAAAATGCATTTGGTTTTTACTTTTTCACTATTTTTTCCTCTTTTTCTTGGTTTTTTTTTTCTCTTCTTTTTTTGGTTATTTGACTAATTGCTGAGCAATGATGGCGACCGACCCTATAAGTCAGCTTCTTATGGCTCTACGAGAAGAGAGCCCTAGAATACGGATACTCGTATGTAAATGTCCAAACCATTCATTAACACACAATCACATCCATTAGCCGGGCACAATGGAATTCTTTCTCATCCCGAAAAAAAATAAAATCAATTAGACACTCTATTTCAAAGTTCTGTCATAAGGTTTTATGAACTGCCGCCCCATTGTCAGCTTGTTGGGCTGTCGGGTTTCGTCAGATATCGGCCATTGAATGTCGTTGCCAAACTGTCACTTCTGACAGCCGCCTGGAATTGGATTTGGTCTATAAGCTTTCATTATTCTGGTGCTAATTATGCGGCCCGCTTCCACGGCTCATAAAAAGACATTTTAACAATAATAAAATCTTGTTTCCATCTATAACAAATAGCACTTTGCCAGTGATGTTTTATGGCAGTCGAAAAAATGATAATTTCGGTAGATTCGGTAAAAGATGGATCTCCATATAAGTTCTAGATGGTTTGGAATCCATTACGAAGTTCCTTCGAGTACTAACTCATATGGTACATATATTTAGAGCGTATCTCCTAGCTTTCTATACACTACTGGCCAAAAAAATACTTCGGAAGTACTTCGTAATAAATATAAATCATAAGAAAAAAGTGGAAAAATGTTGATACGCTTTTAGTTTTTCGATTCGTAGAATTGGTGTACTTATTACGTTGGTCAGCCTTTGTTTATATTTTTAAGGTTTAATCGATCATAAAATATATATTTGAAAAATGCTTATGAGAAAAGTTGTATAAGAAAAAAAGCCCATAAGCGTGTACCTATTATTTTGGCCAGTAGTGTAAGTATATCTTCCAGCCCAATTACACTGGTTTAACCAATGGGAATACGACCCTCCAGCTCATTTAATTAATTCCCCAAATGTGTCCGAAGGTTTTAGCAAATTACACCAAGGGGGCCCGGCCCGGCCCGCCCCCTCCCGACTTACATTATCCACCTACCATTGGCAAAACAATAACAATCCAAAGCAGAGTGTTTACATACATGGACTGTGCAATCAGAGGATCCATAATGCCATTACATTTATGCAAAACGACAACGGGGGTCGGGTCTGGGTCTGGGTCTGGGTCTGTCCTGGGCTTGGGCTTGGGCTTGGGCATGGGTAAAAATCACGAAAAAGCTATAACAACAAAACATGCAATAATTTTATTGCACGAAATGGAGCTAACTATGCCAGGGAATCTGGTATCTGGTATCTGGTATCTCGAATCTCTTCCCACACATGGAACGTCATTAATAATGGCCACAGACGCTATAACTCACTCGGGGAGTGGCGGAGTGGCGGTGAGAGGAGTGCGGCCCGAATCGGATGTCTCGCTCTCATAAGAGCGTACAAAATGGCGACCATTTGCATTAAATGATTGCTAAAACGAAGGACCAAAGGACTCTCGCTCCCTGTGTGGCTGTGTGTGGGTGTGGGTGTGTGTGTGTGTCCAAAAACGGTTTTAATTATGATAACAGCGCAATTATTCTTGTCAAGATCATTTGGCCAAGAGCCCGCACACACACACAGATACAGGGTGTCCGTCCAGCCTGCTTTGCATGTTGGGTGGCTCGTGAGTGTGTCTGTCATAATTTGGCTGCGTGTGTGCCTGCCTGTGGGCGGCTCCTGGCTCCCGGCTCCCGGCTGTTGTCCAGCTCTGGCTTTTTGTTTGTCAATTTGCATACTATCATCGTCATGGCTGTTTTTCATCTGGCTCTGTCCTACGGCTCCCTCAGAGCCACACATGCACGCACACTAATTGAATATGTATGAAGCTGGGCAGCCTCGACGTTTGCCTGCTGTCCCTGTCCCTGTCCCTGGCCCTGTCCCATCTGCACTCTGTTCCATCCCGGGTCCAGAATTTAATTTACACTCACCCAAAAGTCATGCAGTCATTTGGCATGTCTATCAGAGAGACGAGACGAGACGAGACGAGACCAGGGGACAGGTCTAGGACCGCGCCCAGAGCACAGCAGAGCACACCAGACCAGATGGGGGTCAGAGTCAACCCAATCCTGCAGTTTCGATTCATCTCTCTGTCTCTCTGTCCATTTGTTCTCGTCATCAGCGCAGCGCGTACTCTGCCCCTCTCTCTCGCTCTCTCTGATATCTGCTTAGTCTTAGCACAAAATGACGCATATTTAGCTGCAGCTCAAGCCATCAATCCTGAATGTTCATCTATCCATCTCTATCTCTATCTCTCTCTCTCTCTCTCTCTCTCTGCCTTTATGCTCACGCTTTTCTTCTGTGTCTATCTCTGTCTGTCCTGTGCCTCATTCTTTGGCAATTAATCATTTTCCCTCATCATAAACGTGATTTCTTTTCCACTCTCAACTCCAGATACTGATTTGTGGCACAGTTGTGTTTGTTGCGTGCGTGTGTGTCTGTGTGTGGTGCAAGCAAACGGGGGGATGTTGCAACTGTCGCACAAACGAGGCAATCATGTCATTCTAATGAGGTAATCTGATCAGGTTTCTTCCTTGGGAAGGATTTTCAATTGAAATTTCATATTTATCATGGATATTTTGGGAAATGTTCCCAACTAGCCGTTACTCTTACGTTCTCCCCTTCGAGAGACATCTCCGAAACTCCCCTCATTAAGAGCGGGCAACCCCGTTTAGCGACTCCTTGTCCTCCCACCTCTTAAACCCCACCGCAAACCAATTAACCTGCGCCGGCTTACAACTAATTCAAAATTACAATCCCAAAGAGGGGAGACCGAAAATGTAGATACACAGATACTGTATCCCCCCCCACCCCCAGGCGGCAGACGCGACTCGGGTGTGGCAAAACCACGGGCTACAGACAATGACACGTGCGTTTCGATGGGTCCGGATTACGGCAAAAGTTGATGACAACAAATTTGACGACACAAAGGATTTATTTGTTGATAACATTTCCTTCCTTCCTTCCTTCCTTTTTTTTGTGGATTTTGGGATGTTGGGTGGAAAAAGGCAACTTTAAAATGGTGTTTTATGGGGTGTTTGTGGATCGGTGATGCACTAAGTCCTTGGGGCACAGCCGACTGGGACTAGGCCCAGGGTTGCGTGGCCCATTGGCGCCATTTTGTGTGCTCGGCGTAAGGCCAAAAAAAAAATCCACGAGATTTGGCTTTCAATAAAAATGCAAATTTGTCAGAGAAGACAGGGCGTAAAAATGTGAGTCTACCTTTTTTGGGCTTCATCCGCCATTTTATGGGCTTTTAATTTGCATACAGACAGTGAGGGCTTCGGTCCGAGGTCCGAGTGAGTGAGTTTGAGCGTTGGATGTGCTTACCTTAACCTGCGACTCGGACATTCCCAGGGCATACGCGAGCTTGGCACGCTCTGGTCCAGCCAGATATTTCGTCTGCTCGAATGTCTTTTCCAGGGCGAAGATCTGCTGGCCACTGAATGTTGGGCGGGTGTGTTTCTTCTTGCCATCCTTGTCGTTCGATGGATGATGCTGATGCGACTGCGATAGATTGGCGGACACTGCAACAAAAAAAAAAAAAACAAAGAAGGGAAATCGAATTCGTTCCGATTATTCCGTTTGCATTTGATTGTCGAACGCTGTCCGTTCCTCTTGGAATTTAAAATTGAATATTTATGGTGGCCCGCGAAAACTTTTCAAATCTCACAAATTTCAACATTTTAGTACCTTGTTTACAGGCGTTTCCCCGCTCAGTTTCCCAGCATTTAATGTTAATTATGAATTCTTAAATAATGTCGCCCCAAAAATATGACAAAGAGGACAAAGTTGGCATCGCATCCTGCGGATGGTGGATGGTGGATGGCAAACGATTTCGGTGTTGTGGCACGAAAGTTTTGTGACATTTATTAATTGTTTACGAGGCGACAGCTGCTAATTTGGGCATAAAGTTTTTGAGTATCGCCCGCAGAAAGGTGTTTGGGGATGGTGTGGTGTCCATTAAATACAAGTAGAACTCGAATATTTATTTACAGCTAAAAACGCATTATAAAAGCTATATAATTTTCTTTGGAACTTTGCTATGTTTTCATGTGGTATTTTATTTATACTTTTAAACAGTCTTCGAATAGTAGTAGAAGCAGTAGAAGAATACTCTTTTAAATTTACAAGGGCTGTTCAATTTTCCGCCTTCTAAATGGTAGGGCAACACTGTTTTCTGTCAAAAGGCATCTTTCAGCAGATTTCTGTCAAAATTTGAGGACTTAGTTTGTTTTTGACAGCCATTGATAGCGGGCTTCCACGTAATTTGAAGGGAGGAAGAGAGGCTTCCTTTGCCCCTATATAGTTTTATCTTTGAAGCTATCTTTGTGCTCCATTGTAATGTTCTATCTCGTAAAATGTGTCCCAACCAAATAATAATTGCACACTAATTACAATTTGGACACAAAATATATATTCAAAAAGTGCAAAGGAAAAAAAAAAAAAGAAAAAATCCCTATGCACACGTTTACACAATTAACAAACCGAAATTGACCGCAGCAATTTATGGGACAGGCCAGCATGGGGACCGAAACTTTTGCCGTTCCGTTGATGGTCGACGGAGGGTCGGCCTCTCGGAGCCTTCATTAAAATCAATTAGCAAAAGCGACGACGACGACGACGACGACGACGACGACGAGAGGCCAATAAAAGCAGGCCAGGCCAGGCCACGCCAAGTGGTCCAAAAACAAAACGCCCACCCATGCGGCCACGCCCCTGTCGGAGGTGAACCGGGGGAAAGGGGAGGCGGGAATGTACGTGCCCTGTTGGCTCGTAAAGTCAGTCAAGTGGACATGGTCGGTGGGTGGTCATAAAATTAAACGGAAGCCATGGGAATGGGAATGGGAATGGGAAGGAGATGGGTGTGGGAGTGGGAGTGGGAGTGAAGTTGTGGTGGGTGTTGGGCCTATGGCAGGGCTGCCAGGGTGTCTGTGCATGTGTCCTTTCAATTAATGTCACCCCATTATTAAATGATCCCTAATTATGTGAAATGATTTAACTAAATATGCACAAGGGCAAAAAGGGAAATGAGGTTGGCAAAAGGTAAAGCCACAGACAGCCGTTGCCCTCGAAGGGGGGTGGCTGGGCTGCCTTTTTTAGCTCGGGCTCGGGCACGGGCTTGGGTCGAAACTTTGAGTCCCTTTATGATACTTTGGTGCCATTTGTGCAAAATTATTAATTTAAATGGTTATTTCTAACAGCTTTCATACAGATAAGGATATCTTTTTCTGGGTTATGGGCGCCAACTAGAACAAGAAAGGATTGCAATTAAACTGCGTACTGAAGGTGTAGGGAAATGGCGTTTCGGCTGGGTTCACAGAGAATTCTTTCGTGTATTTCACAAACCATCTTTCGCACAGCTTTCATCACCGTTTCCTCTGGAATTCTGGTATGCTCTCATTTGATTGCAATGTTCGAAATATTGAAAGCGAAATCCCTGCCAAATTTGTGGCATTCAATTTATAAGGTTTTTTTGTTGTTTCACAGACAATTCTGGAGCTTAACAAGACTTGTCAATAAAGGGGGACCCCGTCCGCGGGAGGGACCGGGCTTCGGGGGGGGGTAACAAGCATAATCCCTGGCAAGAAAAATTGTAGCAGTGATAATTTTTGTATTCTCTATAGTCTCTGTAGCGGGCCCTGCTCTCGGGTGGCTTGGCGGTTGGCAGCTGCGTCCCTGCAAAGGACCCTCATAAATAACCGACAAATATGAAGCGTTTATTTGCTCATGTCACGGCCCTCAAACGCATTGCAATGAAATGGATCTGCCCTCCCCCTCCTCCCCTCCTACCCTCCTCCCCTCCGTCCCCCTGGCCACCCTCGATACCATTCTTCCAGCGAGTCAGCGGCAGTTGTCTATAATCGCATAAGTCACCCTGTTGGCATCGCTGCATTTGCACTTTTTCCTGCCTTCCTGCCTTCCTGCCTTCAGCCTTCAGCCTCCTGCCAAATCCTCGTTTTTTGTTTTTTCTTTCCACTGCCACGTTTTTTCCGCTTTCTGTTTCATTTTCTTTCACTCGCAATAATTTTTTATGGCGTTAATATTTTTTGGACATTTTTTTTCCGCCTCTGTTTTAGGAGGCGGAGGCTGATGGGCGTGTGCTGTTTTGTGTAAATGTTTCCGTTATTGAAAATATTAAAAAGTCATTTATTATCGGGTGTGAAGGGGAAGATCCAGGGGGTGGCAGAGGGTGGAGTGTGTCTGGCCTTCCGCGAGACAGTTGTTAAAACCAAATGTTGATAGACAGGCGATTATCGAGGGGAATAATGGACAAGTGGCTGAATTGATTTTTGAGAGTGAATATTAAAATAGTATTTCTGTTTCAAAATGAGAAAAAAAATAGAAAAACTTCAATTAGAAAGCAGCCAAATCTGAAGTTCAGGCGTGTTCCCCGATTGTGCCACAATCTTGTAAGATCTTCAGCACAATCTGGTTTCTGGTTGTGCGGCAGCCAAGCCCCCTTCCCCCCTCTCCCCCTCTCGCCCTGACAGCCGCCTGCCACTAATCCGCATCTTTTTATATACATACCTCCTACCTGGTTGCCCCTGCCCCTGCCCCTGCCCCAGCCTCTGCCTCTGGCCTCATTAAGTGCCACTGTTGCCGTCCCTGTCTCTGTGCATTGTTTTATGGCCTGTTTTATGCCCGATTATATGCTTAAAGCACAAGTTTCGCCTGGGGGGAAGGTGGAGCGGGGAGGGCTGACACACAAAATGCCACTTGAATTTTAATTAAACGCAACAGCAACAGCAACAGCAACAGCTAGACAGGCCCGTGCTGTCTCCCTCTCGCTGTCTTCATTAAGCTTAATGAATTGTGTCAAATGCTGGATGCGGTTTCTGTTGCCGGCTCGCTCTCTGAATTAATGGCTCGCTTTTTTCCCCTTTTTCCCCTTTTTTTGCTGTATTTACTTTTTATGTTAAAGTTAATTATTTCATTAGCAGAATGTGGTTGTCTCGCTTTATTTTATTCCTTTTTTTTTGTTTTTGTTTTAATGCTCGGAGTTTATGGGTCGACTAAACACACATGTGAGGCAATTTGATTTCATGGCATTCAATTCATACTTAATTAATCATTGTTTATTGTTGAAAACATGGCTTTATCACATCTTTTCCCCAAACAGGCCCTGTGAAAAATCAATATTTTATAGAATCGCACAACCCGCAATAACAGGCCATAAAATAAAAATTGAAAAACATGTTTCAATTGTCAGTTGCTGTTGCTCATTGTTTCCACATCATTTCTCGGTTTCGGTTAACTTTGGCCGCCGTAAAACATTCTCATATTTCCGCATATTTACATGAATATCTATCCATTCACTTTCGTATATATGTATGTATATATTTATTTATTTTTACTCGAATATAAACATACATATATTTATGGTAAACGCGATGCGACAGCTGTTGGCCCAGACGCCGCACCAAGGAGGCAACCAACTTTTTAGCCCGAAAGCAATGTTAAAGCGGAATGGATTTCTCTACCATAAATACATACAAATGTATGTCTGTATATACGAAAGGAGGTCTATATGTATATAGGGAGATAAGGGCAGACCCAGACGCTGGGAGAATATGTTGCCACATTATTATCTAGACGTAGGCGAAGAAGACGCAGCGGTGGCAGGTCCAAGGGTTGGTTCTTGGTGTGTTTTGTTTTTTTTTTTATCCTGAAATGGGGACAGGCCCCAAATAAATGTGTGTGTGTGTGTGTGTGTGTGCGTGTGTCTATGTGCTTGTAGGCTGTCATGTTAACAAGGCTAAAAGAGAGCGCTTTCCGTAGTGCCTATGTGTGCGTGTGCGCACAACACACACACACACACACACACACAGACACGGCCGTAGTTCCCTTCGCTCAAAAGAGTGCTCTGGTTTTTTTTTTTGCCTCTGCTTTTCAACACATTTTATTTGTTATTAATAATGCAATTGCATTTGATTAGCTGATTTCGTATGCGGGCAGGGAATATTCTCTAACTGGCATTATTTACTCTTTGATTATGCCGGGAATTTTTCATTCAACAGACCATGCCACGGCACCTGTTTAATGCTATCATGTGATTATTATTATTAATATTTGCCTGGCAATTCATTAATGGCAATTTATTGGCTTCGAAAGCCCAATTGAAAGGGGATTAAGTTTGTTGATAGAGGTCTTGGTTCTATCGGTTTATCAGTTCAGTTTATCAGCTATCAAACCATAGGATAGGTTAGTTATCGCTGGCTACAGATAGATTAATCATTGGGGTCATCAAAAATATATGAAGCGATTTCTTACAGATGGATCTAAGCTCGTTGGAACCCAGTGAGGACGATTCTCCGGCTTAACGAGTGGATCAAATTGATCTATTTCCAATTCCCTTCCACTTTGCGACTCCCTCATTTACAGCTTAGAGCTGGCTGGAGTACGGCTCCTCTCCAGTACGGCTTTCTGCTCTGTTTAGCAAATCAATTAAATCAATATTTGCTTAGTGGTGGCCACAGAGCTACCAAACGCTTGAAAATTCCTCGACACCTAACGACACGACACGACACACTTCAGAAATCAAATCAAACACAAGAAAAACATGGGCACAGCACACAGCACACAGCCACATATCTGTGCCTCAGCTATAGGAAAATTGTGAACGATTTCCGACTTTGGGCCAAGACATTTGTGCCCCGTCATGGACGCAATTAAAAGCCAAACAGCAGCAGTAGCCCATAGCCCACTAAATCAAATCAATTGCCAATGCGAACCAGATGTTGATGCGGGAGACTTTAAACAAATAAACAATTGGGAAAAGAAAAACGAGTTTCGAGATGGTGCCACATTACTTAATGAGCTTAGGGTCTCAGGAAGGGAGAGACAGACAGAGAGACAGAGAGAGAGATGGCTCCTATAAATAGATATAATAATGAAGTAACCAGATCAGAAATCAGAAACCAGAGACCAGATCGAAAGCGAGCCAGTAAATTAATATTTCATATGTCGAGCCATCCCATCTCATGCCATCCCATCCGATCTCTTGCCATCTCTTCCCATCATCATCATCATTATCGACTTTTGTGTGGAGTCATGGCGAGAGCTCTCTGAACTCCCTGATCGTGTTAAAGTGATTCCTCAACACTTATTAATGAGCTGGACAATGGTAGCTGCCTGGGCCTTTGCCTGGGCCTTTGCCTGGGCCTTTGCCTGGGCCTCGAGCAGAACTGCAACTGTAAGCTCAGCCTCGTCTTGCCCCCTGCACGCTGTAAATCATATTGGTAATCACTTGAGAAGCCCTCGCCTGATCACCACGATCATTAGGGGGCCATTCGCTTCGCTTTGTTAACGGTTTGGGGTTCGGTTTCGGTTTCCCCTCCCAACAGGAAGTCGGAACCCGCCGCCGCAACGGGGTGTGCCCGTTGACAGTCCGCGGACAATCGTAACCAAATTACGCGCTCTATTCAGTCCGGCCTGATTACCGATCGATCGATAGATTTTTGCAAATTAGAGGCTTTCTGTGGTAGGTACTCACTCGTATTGGATAGACGCTCTCGCCACGCTATCGGATTGGCCACCAGGCCCTGCAGTCCCGGCCAGTACAGGTGAGTGCGGTCCACAATGTGTCCGGCATGGGTCTTCAGCGGCGCTCCCTGGCTCTGCGACAGATACTGGGCCATGCCCGCGGCAGCGGCCGCAATCGAGAAGCGGGGTATGCCAGCTGTAGAGGAGGGGGAGTCAAGTTATAATAAAATGCATTTGTTCTCCATTGATAATCTATTATATGGGATACCTTCGGCTGAAATACCGCTGAGTAGCTGTCACTCATCATCGGTTATGTAATCGCTGGCAAATACCTCCCCCATTAACTAATCCCCCGAAAAGATTATTTCTGCTCGACTCGTTCTCGTTCGGGGCTGCCCAAAAATGTTTTCTGCCCACTCATGCCTCACTCATTCGCCAATACAATAAGAAAATTTGTTCGGATTAATTAAAAGCCATTAAATAATTTGTCATAAACAGAATGAGAAGCGTTTTGTTTGCCTGTTTTGCCTGTTTTGCCTGTTTGCCTGCTTGCTGGCCGAAACGGCCAAATCACATAAACGCCCTCGTTAAAAATAATTAAAAATTTGATGGCAAATTGTCGGCACCCTGTCTCCTGACCGCCGCTGTCACGGCTCCACATTTGACTGTCAAAAAATCCCTCATACATAGAAAAGAGAAAGAAAATTCCAAAAATTCAAAAATCATTTTATGGAAACGACAACGTCACACGTCACTCCCCCCTGTCCCCCGCCCCCCGTCGACCCCATTCACCGCTATGGACGCACGTTTTTCATGTGTCATTTTGATTTAATTACAAACAATTTGACAACTAATTGCTGCAACATTTAAGTTAAAACGCGTATCTCATTACGTTTTGTGGCAATTTCGCAATCGGATATTATGACCATTTCGGATCGCATAGAAATTGCTGTGCTTAATATCTAAAATTGCCCTGATTATGTATGTATGCAGGGTATTCGGGGCAGGGCGGGCCGCGGGGGCGCGGGGCAATGACAGGGGCCTGGGCTTCGTTTTATTGAATCACATGGAATCATGCCAAACCGGATTCGCAAAACAAATTTTTAGCGCTCTTTTTTTTTTTTGGTTGTTGTTGTTGTTTGTTTGCGAAACCCGTTTTTGCAGCATTTAAAATATATTATTTTATCTTCTTTTTTTTTCGTGGGCGTGGAGCATGCATAATGCGAGTATCTATTGAAGTACAGGTCTAAATGTTGCACAATGATTGGGTTAATCGAAATTAGGTCTGAGGGGAGACAGAGAGAGACCTCTTCGAGTGCACCTACGAGATTGGTTTTACTCGGGAATAAACTGAATTTTAATTGAAAAAAAAGAAGACACATTTCTATGGGGTATTCTATACAATAATTAAACGGAACTAAACGGTAGCAAGCTCTAAGGTGATTAAAAGAATCAATTGTAGAATCTGAGTCTAGATTTTCTTATTCCGTGACTTTCGGGTAGGCTGAGAATACGGATCGAAGTTTATAGAAAGACAAGAACCCCTGCTCACTCGCTTCGCTCGTACGCCACTCGCTTCGTTCGTACGCCACTCGCTTCGTTCGTACGCCACTCGCTTCTCTTGACTCTCTCGCGCCGATATGTGACCCAAAACTCTCTTATATAATAGAGAGATACTAGTACTCTTCAATGTAACTTTAAATCCCTAAAAATCTAGATATTGTACCCATAAAAGTCTAGCCGATCCTCATCTCCATCTTATGCCACTCTTCCATGATACCGCTGATCGTTTGCACTCACCTCCTGTTAAAGCACTTAGGCCCGCCGATGTGACCGGCGGTGGTTTCGACAGAATCGTATCGATGCCATGCGGATTGGGGGCTCCCTGGCTGTTCGTGGTGGTGGCCGTGGTGGAGGACGACGAGGAGCTGCCACCCGAGCCGCGATCGCTGATCAGATGCGCGTTTGGACTGTGGCCATAGGAGAGGCCGTTGCCGGCGGCGGAGGGACCGCCGCTGGCTCCCACCCCGGACCCCCCCTGGGCAGTCTTCATCTCTGTGGTCATCGAGTGGAGGGCGGCCAGCGGAGGACCCAGGAAGCTGAGGGGCAGCTTGTGCTCCATGCCCATGCTGTTGTTGTTGATGCTGTTGTTGTTGAGGTGCCCACTGTGGTTGTTGTTGAGATGCCCACTGTGGGTGTGGTTGTGGTTGTGCAGGGCCAACGGATTGACCGAGTGGTGGTGGTGGAACTTGCCGCGACTGGTCAGGTTCTCGGGGCTGTAGTCGAGTGGCGGCGGGGGACTGGCGGACTCGCTGTTCTGGCACTGCTCCTCGCCGCCGCTGAGTGCGAAGGACTTGGCGCTGTCCACGCCGGGGCTGGAGTTGTGCTCGTAGCGCGGCGATGGCGACGACTCCGAGTGGAGGCGCGAGGAGGCGGGCGGCGGCGTCGTCGAAGGGGAATCTTCGGCGGACGAGGACTTGAGGCCTCCGCCGTGGGCCGCTGCCTTCAGCAGCATCAGGGGACTGCTGTTGTGGTTGTGGTTGTTGCTGTTGCTGCTGTTGTTGTTGTTGTTGGCGTAGACCGCCGCCGCAGCCGCCGCACTGTGGTAGTCCGCCAGCTGTTGCTGGTAGTCCGCCGCGGCCATGGCGTGGTGGTGCCGCATGTACGGATTGATCAGATCCATCTCCGGCTCGTGTCCGTGTCCGTACTCCAGGCCCGAGCAGTCCGTGTGCGTGGCAGCCTGTGGCTCGGTGTGATTGCTGCTGCTGCTGCTGCTGCCTGGCAGGCGGTAGAAGCTCGGCGGCAGGGCAAGGTTGAAGGCGGAATTGGCGGACAGCTGGAAGGTCTGGGCCAACTGCTTGGCCGCCACTGTGGCCGCCGCTGGAGCAGACGAGAGTGTGGGTATGGGCGAGGGATTGGTGCTGCCACCCGCGGGCGTTGTGTTAAGGAATGGACTACCCAGCTTGGGATAGTCGGAGTCCGCGGTCCACTCGAATTAGTTTTGGGAACGCAAGGCTGAGGTAATCCTTGCCAGGGTACCGACGATCTTCAGCGCAAGATTTTTTCGGGGGGTCTGGTGGGGGGAATCTTTGAAATCGCAGTCTAGCTATTGCGATTCTCTATATCCTTGAATATAGTTTTGGATTTTAAGAATGGACTTGATGCTGATCGGAAATCGAGTTGTTTTTTATTTCCTTCTCTAGACTTTCTTACAGACTCTTCCTTAAGATTTGTTCACACGGCTTTGCAGAAATTCTTCTTCTGTTCTTAAACTGTCAAAAAAATAGTGTTTTTTTTTTTTTGTTTGTTGTACGATGGAAATTTTAGTTTGTAATTTTTGAACCATCCACAGACACTTGAAAAGAAAATAGATTGTACTTTCGCGTTGCACCACTCTGCTGTAAACTGATTTTGGCGTAATCGGACTTGGGTTTTTTCGTGAGAGTGTGGATGCGCGCGTGACCGCTTGTCTAGGCCTAAGAAATCGGAATGACTCGATGGTCCCAGCTCGCTGGGCCGCACAATCTCAGTTTCAGTTTCAGTTTCAGTGTCAGTTCAGTTTTGGCCAGCTTCAGTTCAACCCTCGAATTCCATTCGCAGCATCGTCGGGTAGTCGGGCGTCGGAGCGAGGGAGACAGCGCTTCGTAAATCAGGGGAACGAACCGCTCGCTCTCCCTCTGGCAGCCACTGGGTTCCACAATCAGTGTAAACATGAAATGCAGACTGGAACGCATTGGCAATGGCACAAAACGAATGGGAATTTTATTATGTACATCATTAAAATCAACTATTTCGGATTCGGATTGGAGCCTGGGACTGAAACGGGGACTGAACTGGACCTGATCCTGGTACTGGTACTGGTTGCTCTCCATCTCTCTCTCTCTCTCTCTCGCTCTCACTCTCACTCTCTCTGTTACTCTCTGTCTCTCTCTCGTCTGCTTGTGCGTGTGCGAGGGAGAAAGAGCTGGCTGTGAGTGCATTTTCATAGCCTCTGGTTTTGGTTCGAGGTCTGAATCTGGCCGTGGCTGTGGGTGGCCTTTTTGTCGACTGCGAATTCTGTTTATTTGTTTAAAAAGCTATAAATATTGAGACGAGCGCCCGGGGCTACGCCGCGTTTAATTTTTTGTTGGGCTTATTCATTTAAATAATTAAAAACTGCACGGAAGGTAAATGAATGAATGAAATGCACCCAAATGGGAAACTAGGAAGAACAATATATCGGATAGTAGAATAAGACTTAAATGGTAAAGAATTTGTATTTATAAAATGAAGACAAATGAAATTATTTATACAAAATATTAAAAATAGAAATAAACAATTATTAGACTTTTATTCAATACAAAACAAATTATTCAATTGTTAAATATTAGCCAGATTTAATTGAAACCCAAATAAAACACCTCTCCCCGGGCAGTCCCGTCCACAAGTGCATATTCCCAAGTACATACTCGTATGTACATATGTATGTACATGTGTGTGTACATATGTATGGATTTATTGAAGATTCCCCTTAAAATGCTGGCACTCTTTTAGCGCTGAACTGAATTAATACGCTAATTAACATTTTTATATTATTATGTGCCCGTCTGGGTCCTAGAACGGGGATTGGATGGGGCGGCCCTCCGACGGACAACGGTTTATATTTATGTTTATCTGTATAAAAACGCTCCTCCTGCTGCTGCCGCTGCCGCTGGCGCTGGCGCTGCCGTCACACAATGGCATTCCATTCAGACGGGCGGCGGGCGCTCCACATACAGATACAAAACTGCGCTTCATTTAATAATAAACTACAGAATATTTTAATTTACTCAGACAAAAGAGCGAGCGTGTAGCATGGAGCGTGGAACGTAACGGAACTCGGAACACGAGGCCACACCCACTCGAAACAAGTCAGAGAGAGAGAGAGAGAGAGAGGGAGGGAGAGTGTGAGGCAGTGAGAGAGAGACAAGAAGCCAAAGAGAATGGCAGGGCGAGAGAGAGAGAGAGGCAAGCTCTGACCGTTAGCGATTGAGGCCGCCATGTTGAAGTTAAGTTTCTCTGAGAGAGAGAGAGTGAGGTGTTCGTGCTCCCGCTCGTGCCCGTGCTCGTGCAGGGTCATTTTCCACCATAGCTTGTTGATTTTCAACTCTGTTCGGCATTTAATTGACTTTGCCGGCCCATAAAAATGTTTACTACTAAAACCTTAAATCTACTAAATACTCGTAGCCCTAGGCCCCAGGCCCCAGGCCCCAGCCCCCAGCCATCCCGCATCTTCGACTTTGATCTAAACAATTCAATATAAATATATGCATGGCAGAAAACATGTCATAGCCTTTTCTTTTATCGCACTTAACAGATCTCCACAGAATAAATGGAAAAAAGGTCTCTAAAACATAAACGGTGCACTGGAAAAAGCGAATAGGTAAAAGGAAATTAAAAAAAATTCAGAATTATGTAGAAAAAGTTTCGGAAAAAGATCGGATCTATTGATATATTATTAAAAAAAAAAACATATTATTAATTAAATAAATAATATAAATTATTTAATTTATTAAAATATAATTCATAGGTTTATGTTATTTTTAATATTTCAAATTAAAGCTGCCTCATTTCTCTCGGTGTAAACTCAATGCATCAAAATATGTGAGCCCGAACCGAAAAGATCCACAAGCCACTAAAAACTTGGTCAAAGATAACAAAACAACACAAACCCTAACTGTGATTGATTTATTGTTTTATTGTGCCAAAAAAAAAAAGAAATACAAAAAAAAAATGGAAGATGAAAAACGGAGGAAAAGGCGAGAGAGATATTACAATTTACAATAGCGATAAGCAGAGAATTGAGAATATTGTATTCTCCATTCTGTACTCTGGCCCATAGTCTCCTGGTTCTTTTAGTCTCTTTGAAAACTCAAATCAACTGAGACCCAGTGCCGGGTAATTAATAAATAATTTGTGAGATTTTTATTTTCTTTCACATGTGGGCCCTAAAATCTGAACCAACTGGAAAGTAAATAGCCATGGCTAAAGTGATGGGGCTTGGGGTTTATGGGGGGGTTGGGGTATCGCATTCTCTCACAGTTCATTAAACTGGAAATGGAGGAATAAGTTTGGGTCTGGGTCTTCTCGGGTATTTATGACTTGATTGTCCGAAGACTCCAGGTAGCAACACTAAATATGTCTATAGAAAACAATGGTAGCAATAATTCTCCTTAAAGACGAAATTTAATTCTACAAAAAGCCAAGAGAAGCTTGACCTTAATGATGGTAATTTTGATAGAATTATTCAGGGGGGAAAAACTATAATTATTTGGAATAAATACTTTCAAAATTTAATTACTTTATACAATAATTAAAAAGTCTTAAAACTCTGAAAAAAATAATCAAAAATCAATCTCGTAGTATACTCGTAGGACACTGTATATCCAAGGAAACAAAACTTGCCAAACCCAAATCAATGCTTGACCAAGCCAAGGCCCCTCCCCTCCCCTACCCTCCCCAGGAAACCCCCGACCATGCTTGGTCAATAATCCGTTTCTAAATTTGAATTTTCGATTGGCCACAAAACATCTGCGACTCCCCCGACCATAATCCAAATGCTGACCAATCTGTGTGTACATCCATCCAATTTTCCTTTCACACCTATACGAAATTTGCTGTCATCTTTGGTTACTGTTATTATTATTATTATTATGATTATAATGCGTTTTGGAAATGTGGAACACATGTGGGTCCGCATTCGTATGGAGAGGAGTATGCAACTTTTTGTGTCCCGTATTGGTCAGCAAAAGAAATCTCAACATTTGGCATACAATTTGCATTATTTGAGATTGGGTTTTTTTTTGTTTTGTTCGGTGCAAAGCTAAGTCGGGTTGATGTATGTCAAAGATACGTGCGCCTGTTAAAATCCTGTCTAATTTAATATCTATAAATCCCCGGCCATGACAGCAGCGACCCAGTGGCGACCCGGAGGTGGCACACAAAAAAAGGGTTATCATCGGTCGAGGGTTGCTTATCAACGTGGCAAATTGATTTCGGCTCGTTATGCGGTCACTTGGGTACATTTTTTGGTCAAAATTGTAAACCCAAAATTGGCCAAACGTGCGTTACAAATTAATGTTTGTTCGGGATTTTGTTTCACTTCCTTTCTTTGCGTTATTATTATTATATTTTTTTACGTTAGGTTTTTTTTTTTTTTTTTTGCAAACAGGCCATAAACCCTTTTATACTTCAACAGGATGTGCCGCCTGATGCCGAGTTATGTGGTGCAAATGCCGTGGGTGTTTTGGTTTTTTGGGGTGGCTATCGTTTTATTGGCCATTAGTTGGGCTTGTCATTCACTGACACCGATATGGGCTATTGATATTGATAGGGAGATGAGCGTCTTTGTTACAGCAAACAGGGACTGGAGTTCCCATTTAAGAGTTCAGTTTTGATTAGTGTTCCTTAACCTATTCGAAGCTACGACTGAAGAGCCCTTACTCTTCTCTGAACACTTGTTCAGCCACAAGCCATTATTCCTCGTCATATTGTGCCATAAATGCTATACTATGTATAGGAGATAAATACTCCTTCCTGCCTAGTACACATGCCTCCTGCCGAGGCTCCAACGCCAAGACAGACTTGTCATATTTTTTATGGCATACTATACGCCCTCACGTTGGGTTAGAAAATGTCGCCTTTGATTGCTTTCCTATTTGTTTACATTTTCAG